CCAGTGGTCACTAGAAGAAAGTGCATGTAAACATAGAGCCTGTTTGGTAAACAGTGAGATTCCTTAAGAATCTCCAAACCAAAAACAACATCTGTAATTAGGGCTGCTGCTCTTAATTCAACATCCAATGAAAAGGGACTAGATCCAGCCCAACTTCAAAGCCTGGGTTTTGGTTCCTGAGAACGCTGGTCTTGCCAAGGAGCGTGAGCACAGTGCTACGGATTTTTCCGTTTCTGTTGCACCAAGCAACAAGAACGTTTCCCCAAAGCCATCTTCTTCCCTCCTCTCAGCTGCTGGGAAAACCCACCCGGGACAGCGTCCCCGTGCTGCCTGGCCGGTGCGCGCTGCCGAATCGCTAGCTGGCACGAGCAGGGCTCTGCCCTAGGGAACATGCGGAAATGCTGCAGCCTGGCTGGTCCCCTCCATGGCTTATGGACGCACTGGTGTGGGCAAGCCAGCGTTCAAAGGACACAGAGAAAGAAAAAGGGAGAATTACAAGGAATCATAAAACAGAAATGCATTTCTAATACAGGTGGAATTACTCTAGACCATAAACCGGTGCTCCTTGCCGTCATGAGCCATGAGGATGACGTTACGATTGGACGTCCAGATCAGTCGTGCCAGCTTGAGCGCGTTGTGGGACCCCGGAGAAGCGGGCTGCACGGGGGGCACCTGGTAGGTCTTGATGCAGCGGAGCTGGGGCGCGGAGTTCAGCATGCCGATGCTCCCCAGCAGCGAGGTGTTCATCTGCGCAAAGAGCTGACGGTGACCACCAGCCGACGGAGAGCCGGCCCGGACCCAACGCGCCCGCACCCTGCCCCACGCGTCGCGAAACTTTAATAATTGTTGCTGATCCCGGTTATCTAGCTGCTGTCTCAAGTGAGGTTTAATTAAAATTCCATTAGACTCGAGCCAAGCAATGCTGTTTAACTGAAGAGCGGCTGGGAATTTAAGCAAAGTGCTTGATGTTTTGGGGGACGCTTAACGAACACAATACACAACTTTGCAAAATGAAAGATTCAATAAATTTAGTGGGCACATTTCACTGTTCTCCTTTGATGGGGAGTTTATAAAGTGAGCTTAACTGCATAAGTGTATAGCACTGCACGCTATCTTAAGGAATCCCTCCAACACAAGATAAAGGTGTTTCATATGACTAAATGAAAAAACAAAGTACAGCAAAAAATCTGTTAAATTCTCACCTGTGTATAGAACTCAGTAAAGTTTGGCAGCTAGTGACAATATTGATCTCATAGTTTGTCCCATATTTTTCTTTGCTAATGTTTTCCGTGATTGTATCTATTTCAAATTCAATTGTGAAATTTGAATCAATAAATTAGCTAGGAATAGTACATAGTTTATTCAGTACTTTGAAAATACCACCTCTGCTTTATTTATGTCTTTAATAATAAAGAATTTATTTGGAATTTAAGGAAAAATCCATAAAATATTAAGAAGATTATATTTCTGCTAGAATATTTTTATTTGTCAAAAGCAGAATGACAATAGAGCTCATGGCAGGCAGAGTAAAGGAAGAATAGCCCTCGTGATGGGTACAAACAGAACAAACAGTAAGAGCTCTGCTCATTTTCTGGTCTGTAAGTAAATCATTCAGATGTTAAACATCTGAAGAGATCTGTTGAGTTACATTCTTTGGAAAGCAGGCCAATTATTGCTGATGTACGCTGCCTAGTTCCATGGTTTTAAAAACGAGATTCACTGCTTTCCTCTGAACGATCCACAGATACAAAATCCTACACTTTCTGAAATGCTTCTTCACTCTTGAAACCCTTGCCCTCCACCCGCACTAGGGCCCTAGCATGTACGCAGAGCCGGCAGCTGACGGCCAGGCTGCGCGCCTACGATGCGACACACAAAACCTTGGCAAATCTCAGAACATTTAAGGCGTGTTATTGCTGATATCCTGTTCTGAATTCTGATCAGTGGAAAGTGTAAGCCATTACTTTTTTCTGGCTCTTCTCAGCAGCAGAACGGTGTCAGAGAGTGTAAATCATGGCATCTCTAGCAGGGAGCATGCAAGCACCACTGACATTTTCACAATTTAAATCATCTTGAGTAATAACCCTTTTAAGATGACTAATGTTACTGATTTTCCTGCATTAATAATAGTGCCAAATAGAACACAGAAGGGAAAAAATCACTAGTGCACGAGGTCACATTTTAAAACTAAATGCGTAGGTATGTTTAACTCTTTACGTAAAAGCTAGCTTAACGTGAACATTTATGCACCTGGAGGAACGTGGCAAATTCACCGTTTAAAACTCAGGCCTGAACAGAGCCTGTTTCTTTTCCTACTTTAAAAGATCAGGTAAAAAATCAAAATCAATAAGTCTGATTGCTTTCCAGATTTTCCCTGAGTATTTAAACTGAATAAATGTAACTGATGGATGAACATTTTTGCAGTTCTCACTTACTGTTTCACAAAGCTCACTATATAGTGATGGATAATAATTTAATACTTTTTACGGCACCTGTAGAACTACTGAATGACATCAGAAAACTGGGGAAATAGCTTAAATTATATAACCGATAACTATGACTATACTGAGTCCAATTTTATAGTCTGATTACTCTAAGACTCCTGATGATTTTAATAGTCTGCGCACATTGCTCGATCAGATCAGTTGTTTCCAAACACATTTGTAAGTCTGAAGCCACGTGAAGGCATGCTCACACATACACACACGCGCACAAATCCTGCCTAGGGAATGTAGGCAGCATTGCCTTGGTTATCTGTCCCATCGAGCTGCGCGTGTATCTACAACTGACAAAAAAAATACTGACATCAGATTACAATGAAAAAGATTGCTCACATGTTAAAAACAAGAAACCTGCAGATATTTTATAAAATGCTGGCCTGATTCTCAGCTTCTCCTTCTATTTCAGACCCTCCTTACATTGTTTATAGCTCAGCTCTCCTGTTTGCAGCATTATTAAGGACGTGAAAATCATCTCTGCGCTGTGCAACACAGCAAAGCGCAGAGGGAGCAGAGCAGTTGCGCCAGCTGGGAGGAAGGGCCGGGCCACAGCAAGGACAGGAGTAAGTGATCATCTTAGTTGCTTTGCATCATGCTTTAAAAAAAAAACACAATAAAAACACCTAAGAATCTCTTTCTCTATTTGGATTTATTAGGTTCCAGAAATTAGAGAAGAAAAACACCTACTGGGACAGGGAGTCAGAGCAGAAGTAGCTGTCTTGGCCTGCGCAGAACCAGTTGGGTGTCTCCTACATGGCTCTTAATTTTATTATTTGGACATTTTAGATATGTGAAATTGAAATATTACAATAGTACCATATTTAAATCGAAACATCAAATATGAAAAAGTTTATTATTTAAGAATATTCCTTGATTGCCTAGAAGTTGCATACTAATTTGTATGCAAACAGCCCCTCATCCCCCAGGACAGTTACATCTGCAAGGACTGTTTATATAGAAACAGCAAAAACCCTCAATACAGAGGCAGTGATATTCAAAGCTGTCTCCCCAAACCAGAAGAACAAAGAGGGAACAGTTACAGCTCACAAGCTACCTGGGACTTGGGGACTAAGCCTGCATTCAACAGTCTTTCTCAGATACCTCCGTGAAGCTGGGAGAGCTGCTCGAGACTGTGGAGGAGTTTCATGGGACCTGACGTGCCCAAACTGGGGGGAGGGAAGGAGAAGCAGAAGTCTACAGGAACAAGCTGGAAGGTCCAAGTGCTGCATCTTAGTTCTGTACAACAGTACTTGGACAGTGTGGGAAACATAAAATACAATCAAAGATGGTTGTACAGTATTACAATAAATTGGAAAAGAAAGAGCTGCTGAAGAATGCACACTGCAAGAACTGTCCCAGAAGTAGTCCACCTGCACACACGTTTGCACAACTCCGAGCTGAATTATACAAAAATGTATGAAGTTTGACCAACTCTCCAGGAAACAAACTGAAAAGCAGCTAAACTGGATTTAAAAAAAAAAAACTATATGATTTTGCCAATTTAGCCCTCATCTGTCTATATGTACCAGCACCTGAGGGGGGTGCGAGTAGACAGAGGAACACCCTCGCTCCAGGTAAGACCGGAAGCAAGCACAGGCAGTGGTGGCACAGCTCCATGGAGCTTTCAAGGAACAGAACTGCTGTGCTGAGCTTTCAGCTTCTGCCTCAACTGCAGAGATTTTCCTGTTTGCAATTATTTCATGTAACATGATCAGTATTTCCTTATGTAGTACACTATTACTGAACAATGTAAAAAGATGTCCCAAATACTGCTTCATCAGCAACGTGTGTGCACACAGATTCAGATAATAACAAATTCTTACCTGCCAGAAGGAGAGATGACTGTCTGAATTGGAGTACGTGGCAAGGTACCGGCCATCAGGGGCAAAAGCTACAGCAGTTATGGGTCCTTTATGGCCATGGATAGTCTGACAAGAGGGGAAGAGGACAGTAACTTAGAAGATTCATTACTCAGCACCACAACGATGTTGCACAGACCTTTCAGCAAACACAGATGTAACAGTATATGAACTTCCAGAAACATTTTTAAAAGACAGAAATAGATCATAGCAGTCAGTAAAAATTAACTACTGTGTTCAAAAGCCCTGGAAGAAGAGGTCTCAAACAAGTACTGCAACATCCTCCTGCTATTTCACTATTGTATCTTAGGTCTCTTTGCAACTAAGGCAGCATCTACAACCTCTATGCGGCTTTTCTCTAATACTAAACTTCAAGAAGGGGTATAGTCCAGATTTATATTTAAATCCTGAATTCCTTTCTCCCAGTCTTTCCCTTCAGTGTTTCCTACTATGAAATATCCTGGACATAAGGAGAAAGCACTTCCGCGGGCAGCGGTCCCCAGAACGGGCATGGCTCCTTCCGCGCCTGCTTTGACTTCAGAAGCTGTTTGGCTTTTGCCAGGAATTCCAGCGATAATCGTTGTGCGATGTGAGCTGACGAATTACATGAACGATACCCAGGAATATCATACTAGTACCACAGTCGCAGACCTCTACCTATATACTTACTGTAGGCTTAGCAAGTGATCCTTGCAGAAACACACAGAACAAGTTGTGCATTTTCTGTTATTCTAGTACTAATTACTCTCTGATTGACGTTCTGTCAATCGGCAAATACCTCGCAAAAGAAAAGGAAGCCTCTTTTTCACCAGGTTTTGCTTCTCTCGGCCAAGGGAGGACCGGATGACTACGCATACTGCTCCCGCTCGCTTGAAGGAACGGCAGCAATTTCTCCAAAAGCCTCCAGAGCCTCCTTGCGCACCACGGGCAGGTGCCACTCTCGCAAGGACGAAACGCGAATTTCCCCCTCTCTGATCCCTAACGCCAGGCGCTCTGCAAAGCCACGGGAGGCAAGGAGCCGCGAGCGGCTGCTAGCTCGGTCCCCGTGTGCTCCGCACGCCATGGATTTTCTGGATAATCCTGTACGCTTATTACACACTAGCAATGAATTAAAGGGGTTTCAGATCGAAGAGAATAATGCAGAACAAAGTGAAAAATGAAATTACTTGCTTAATTCAGTCTCTACGCAATATTAAGGTGCTACCAGTTAATGCCGCAAGCCGCGGAGCAGCACCCAAGAGGGGACGGTGCCGTTTCGCAGGGTCGCCCCGCCATTCGTTGCTGCCCCACCAGCAGGCGCTAAGGGTGGTCAGCAAGCGCCACGCTAGCGACCACAAAAACGGCACGGCTCCTTCCAGAAACAGCTGATAACGTTAAAATCAGAAATGAGAAAAATGAGCCAGCCTCAGCCAGTGAGAATACTGACAGCAAAATCTAACGCTTGCCATTTTTTGCACACGGGGATTTGTGCTCACATCTCCTCAGGGCCCTCAAACGCCTCTGGCCACCCCAAAACATGGAAGCGCCCCTTGAAAATCACTCACCTAGCTGCATGCGCTTAAGTTCCCCTAAGTTTTCAATAACTTGACGATTTCTTTTAAATGACTTAATAGCTGCTTAGCCAATAAAATCTAATTAAATCATTGGATGAACAAATTCTCTGCCAAATTTCACTTTTTAAATCAAAGCCATTTGTCAGGTATATGAACAGAAATATGTCTTTAACTGAAATTTTTAAAATATATAATACTTATACTCCAAAAAGTAGGTTGTAAATTGCAAGTCTATAACAGCCTTCACGTGGCTAAGCGGCAGGCAGGGAACGATCAGAAGTTCAAACTGGGGAAGGAAAAAAAAAAAAAAGAACCATCCTCCCAACTCCGGCCTTACAAAACAGTCTTTACAAAAATGCAATCCAATTCCGAAATTTAGATTTGTAAACTTTTTTTTTTTGCTGGCTTCCTGGTAACAGCACCAGAGGCTTTTCAAAGGTCAGGAAGGCAGCTTGGAGAGCGCGTGGGGTGCTAATCGTTTGTCCACATCAGATGTTTCACCTCCAGGTTTTCCACCACGTGAGTACTGTGGTATTTTAAGGCATCGCATTCATGCCACCGTTGTTTCTTTCAGCTGAGCATCAAGTATTGCGCACAGAGGAATAGCAGCGAGAAGACCACAAGCTTCATTCAAATGGTACAGTGACTGTAATAATATTTTTGCAGAAATGTGGAGTTTTTGGTTTTGGAGAATGGTCCCAACCCTGCATGGGCAGACGCTGGCACAGAGCCAGCTCCACGCATCGACACTGAGCACAGCGACGGCTGCATTTCGACGCTCACAACTCATGGCTTCCTTTAAGCGGCCTTCTCTCCCCCAACAAACAATGCCGTATTTCCATTGCAAATATTTAAGGATCTATGTATGTTTACAAAGAAAATATACCTGCTAGTAGCAAACAACAGGCACACAAACCTCGGGACGAAGTACCTGGGGTTGCCCCGCTGAAACACAGGGGGCTCTGGGAAGGCAGAGGCTGGAGCCCCGCTCATCCCACACTGGTCCACATAACTGTTTATGTCCAATCTTCAGTTAACTAGAAGCATGCAATTAAAATACTTTGGACACTGTCATTATAAATGTAACTAAAAGTTAAAACCTTATATAGTAGATGAAGTGTAAGGGAATTTCTTCAGAAGTAACAGTCAACAACTGGAATGTCCTCAGTATTATCTCACATAGAGCTTAAACTATCATTTAAAAATATATACTTTTCATAGCAGTTGATGATCACAGAATCACAGAATGGCCAAGGTTGAAAGGCACCTCTGGAGATCATCTAGTCCAACCCCCTTGCTCAAGCAGGGTCAGCTAGAGCACGTTGCACAGGATCGTGTCCAGACGGGTTTTGAATTTCTCCAGCGAAGGAGACTCCACTACTTCTCTGGGCAACCTGCTCCAGTGCTCTGTCACCCTCACAGTCAAGAAGTTTTTCCTCAGATTCAGATGGAACTGCCTGTGTTTCAGTTTGTGCCCGTTGCCTCTTGTCCTATTGCTGGGCACCACGGAGAAGAGACTGGCCTCATCCTCTTGACATCCCCCCCTTCAGATACTTGTACACGTTGATGAGATCACCTCTCAGTCTTCTCTTCTCCAGGCTAAGCAGGCCCAGCTCCCTCAGCCTTTCTTCATAGCAGAGATGCTCCAGTCCCCAAATCATCTTCGCAGCCCTCCGCTGGACTCGCTCCAGAAACTCCACGTCATGATACGTTCTCCATACACATCCTTTGCCATCAAGAACATTTTCCAAGACCAAGTTATGGATGCTTAGCTCAGGACAAGCTTTCACAATATTTAACATGACATACCCTGCTGCTAAAGCAAATACTTGTACCCAGCTTTCTGGAAACAAGTCAGACCCTGAGGAGAATACAAGAGTCAGTCTTGTATAAGAGTCCTATTTTTTATTCCTGGTTCTGCCACTGATTTGTCATGTGAGCTTCAGCAAATCAAGCATCATTCTGACTAAACAACTTGTATAAAATTTCCAGCAATATAAACACGTGCATCAGAAATGCAGTGAAAAATTATTCCACTTGTCAACCTGTGGTCAGAGTCATAGTTAAGAGATTTTTCTGTTACTTGAGGTTATTGTTTAACAATTGCAAAAATATGCAGACACTTTACACAAGATTGGCATTCATTTGTCTTACGTGTTTTCTAATGCTTTGGAGATCTCAACAGTGGCAAAACCTGGCAGCTCGCTTCCTCGCTTACCTTCCCTGTGGGTATAAAGTTTCTGAACGTTTGCCAGCGCTGGGATTCTTCCCTCTGGTACGTGGTACGTGAGTTTACTTCAGTCATTAAGTGCCGATTTCTTATATCCAGTACAGAAAACACCGTCTGTCTTCAGAAATCCCATAGAGAGGACTAAGGCTACGGAGCTGCAGGAGAAGGTAGTCTAGGTATGACGGACCAGATAGAAATGGCGCTGGCCAAGGCTGCATGGGAAGCCAACGCAGTAGTGCTGTTGCCGGGATAAGAGGAGACATGGGCAGAGTTACAGGAAAAAGCAGGCTGTGAACAGCCTTACAAACGTACAGCAGAATCTGCCACTGCTGCAAGATAGCTAACGAAAGCAGAAGAAACGCAGCCAAATATATTGGAATATCGAGTGCAGGACAAACCAAAAAAAGGTTGTAGATTCAGGTTTTTTAAATTCAAGATGATATACACAACTTTCTTTCTGAAGATATGACTTTCTATTGGATTATCATAATTAAAATTGTATTAGAAGTGCACAAAGAAATCAAAGTATTTCTTCAAAAATACACGGTAGCTGCTCTTTCTGCATTGGAAGGCTCTGTGCTAACCTTAAAACGGCATGACTTTAAATGTTTTCAGAAAAGATTCTGTAACCCTCAGAACTGTATTAGGCTTGGAGAACAACAGAAGTGCCCCTTTGGCCAGCTCTGAGACACTTCAGAAGACAAAGACCTACGAAGACAATAAACTGCACTTAAAATGAACTTTATGTTAAGAATTCATTAATATATTTATTCTGTATCATGTAAACAGGCAGTGAACTTCAACAGAACCCCAAACGCATGCCTTTTATATAATCCTTACTCCTTAGTATGAAAATCTGAAAGGGTAATTAATTAGATCATCCAATGTTCAGAACCATCAAACTCTTTAGCACTTAACAAGCAAGTAATACTTGTCAATAAAAAATGTTTTGGTAATACAGAGGTGGAAAATCAATACGACTAGCACACTTGTTGCTCTCTTTACTACTGAAAATGTGTTGCAATAACTGCAATCCTCCAGGGAATTAATGTGCTTTGTTATTTAAAAGAAGTGCTTCCTTAATTGATGCTAATCCTTTAAAGTAAAGATTTTTTTTTTTAGTGCACTATCTAAATGCCTACTTTCCAAGGCTCATCTTCCTTTTTCCTAGGCACAGGAATAAGCATGACAAAAGAATTTGCTGCTGCTCATTCACAATACTCCGCTTGCCCCCGTGCATCGGGTGTTCAGACTTTGCTGGCGGGCACAGGTCTGCTGCTGTGCCG